CCTTTTGATGGCTGCATAATATTCCATTGTATATATATACCACATAAAGATTTTATTTTTTAAGTAATCTCTCTGCCCAACACAGGGCTCAGACTCAACCCCGAGATCGAGTCACATGGTCCTCTGACTGAGCCAGCCGGGCGCACCCAGTTATCATGTTTTTTACAAATAAAATCTTACTAAGATTACTTATTGGTTATAACAGTTTAGCTGAAGATTCTTTCGGATTTTCTACGAACACGCTTATGTTGTCTACAAATAGTGACAGTTTTATTTTTCCCTTTCCAGTTCTTACACGTTTCTTTTACTTGCTTTCTTGCGCTGTCTAGGACCCTCCGAGAAGTGGAGATCGCAGGCATCTTTGTGTCATTCCTGATCTCGGAGAGAAAGCTTCAACCTTTCCCCATTGAGAATGATGGTTGCTTCCATTTTGTTTTGTTTTTAATCTTCTTTATCAGATTAAGGGAAGTTTCCCTCTGTTCCTAGTTTTTATCCCGAATGGATGAACTTTTTAAATCCTGATTGGATGTTAATTTAGCAGATGTCTTTCCAGCATTGAGTGAGATGATACTGTGATTTTTCTGGCTATTTTGTTATTGTGGTGAATTATATATATTTTTGAATGTTAAACTGACCTGGCAAGGACCAAGTATTCTTTTTACATACTACTAGATTCCTAGATTCTGCGTGCTAATATTTTGTTTAGGATTTTTGCATCTATATTCATGAGTGAGATTGGCTTAAAATTGTCCTTTGTTGTCAGTCCTTGTCATATTTTGCTATCCAGATTATGCTGGATTTAGAAAATGAATCCAGGAATATATCTCATCCTTGTGTGTTCTCAGGCACTGTTTAGATGGGATTTATGTTATTTCTTTTTTAAATAACACTACGGTTCTCTTGGTAGGCAAGTTTTTCTTTAATAGATGTAGAACTTCTCAGATCTTTAGCTTCTTGTGTCAGGTTTGATAATTGTGTTTCCCTTGGAATTTCTCTGTTTCACCTAAATTTTCAAATTCATAGGCATAAAGCTGTTCGTCATCCCGTCTAATTTTCTGTAGGACTTGTAGTGATAATGCACGTTCATTCCTGATCTGCTGGAGTCTCACCAGAGGTGTAAGTCGTAAGCTCTAGCTGTGTCTACAAGTGTTAGTATGTAGTCTTGCTGTTACTGTTCAGTCCAAAATAAGGAGGGTGCCCTCATTGTACCCATGGGTTATTTAGGAGTAGATTGCTTAATTTCCAAACGTAAGGGGATTTTCAGGTTTATTTTGTTATTTCTAATACAGTCCCCCCCAACCCCGCTCCCTGGGTCGGAGACCGTAGCCTGAAAGAGTTCAACCCTTTGAAGTTTTTTTGCTTTCATACGGTCCAGCACGTGCTGGGGTTGGGTGAGCGGTCAGTGTGCACATCCTGCAGCCCTCGGACAAGGGGTCCCTCGTGCGCGGTGTCACTCAGTCCTGTATATAATCACGGTTTTCCATGGTTATCTGCTTGTCCTCTATCGGGGACCGTCATTTTCGCTGTATACGTGTTGGAAGTCATGTTATCGCATGCAAATGTAGGATTTTTCCATCTTTCTGTGAATCTTCATGAAATGCTCTTTCTTTAACAGTGATGCTTCTCGGGGCGCCTGGGTGGCTCAGTCGGTTAAGCATCTGCCTTCGGCTCAGGTCATGATCCCAGGGTCCTGGGTTCGAGCCCCGCATCGGGCTCCCTGCTCAGCGGGGAGCCTGCTTCTCCCTCTCCCACTCCCCCTGCTTGTGTTCCCTCTCTCGCTGTGTTTCTGTCTGTCAAATAAATAAATAAAATCTTAAAAAAAAAAAGTGATGCTTCTCACAAAGGATTAGTTTTTTTGTTTTTTTGTTTTTGCTTAGTGTTTGCTCAGTTTATTGTTTCTAAACTTGTTCAGCTTTCCTGTGTCTTGCTTCCTTAGGTGGTGTGTCTCTTCTAAGCAGCCCGTCATTGGTATTTTGGTCCCTAATCTGACAGTATTAACATTTTAATCAGAATATTTGGCTTATGTACATGTGCAGCAGTGACCGAAATCGACCATGGGACTCCTTGCTTCCTCTTGGCCCCGCCTGTTCTGTGCTTTTTCCTCCTCTGCTTTGTACCTCCTTTCCTGTTCAGGTCGTAGGGATCGGTATCGTGGTAGCTTCTCACCTCTTCCCCGGTGCTGTGTTTTGGCTCTTCTCTTCGTTGCTCCCTTGGTGCAGCCCTGGGGTACCGCAGGTACCTGTCGCGGGTGAGGGACGGCCCTGAGCGCTCGGACGGCCCCATGTGCTGGCTGCTGCACCATGTATTCACATACATGATGTCCCTCTCTCTGTTTTTTTAGAGAGAAGGGAGGGAGGGGTGGGGCTGGGGGGAGAGAGCCTCCAGCAGACTCCCCGCTGAGCGCGGAGCCCGAGGGGGGCTCGATCTCGCAACCCCGAGATCACAAGTTGTGTGCTCCACCTGTGGGACCAGCAGGTTCTACTCCGATGTGCTTGGGTCGAGTTTTCTTCTCCAGATTCCGCTTGGAGCGTGGAGCATTTTTGTCTGTGGCTTGATGCCTTGGGTCAGTTTTGGAACATTCTGAGCCATTGTCTCTTGCCCCGCACCCTCTGTCCTCGTCCATGGACTCAGTGCCTCGAGCCACCTTTTCACCGTGTCCCATGGAGCCTCCCGTATTTTAATCCCGTTTCCCCCGCCCTGTGCTTCAGCCCGGATATTTGCTTCTGAGAAAACGGGGAGTAACTGATTGCCTTCTTGAGCTGTGTCTGATTGGCCATTAAACACATCCGG